GCCAGCTAAGATTTTCTGGTATCTTGCATGTTTTATGAATCTATTCACGTCACGAGACATTTGTTTTTATACTAAAATATCTGAATTACTTTGAATAAAGGTGGAAATTATGTCCCAAATTAGGCACCAATGTTTTTGTAAGATATTCACTATCTATCAAGAACATTTGGTAGACTGATTCCCCACAGTTGGTTCAACCATAAAACTTGTTTGTATTCAAAATTAATTATGACAATGCATATTTATATTGAAACAAACTATGATAAAGGGAATAATATTATATAACAAAGGGCAAGGTCACCTGAGTTCAACTATGTTTTAAAAATCGCTAAGATGTTTTAACGTGTTCTGACACCGTGACTCTTGAAAACCCAGATTTTGACATAATCCAGGACAACAAAATGTGGCTCGTCATTAACAATATATGTGTTTTTCCGTCTATGTCACTAGCCTAGATATGGCATAATACCTGCGCCATAAGAACCTATTGTAAAAGCGTTATAACACTGACAAAATGACAACTATCTACCGAAATACAACCATCATTTTCTCGAACTTTTTTCAATATCAATATCGGGAGTACAATATTGCAAAATAAATAATTTCTGTGTATTTATGACAAGGCTTCTACCTTACTTTATTATTTTCTTCTTCATGAAGATCAGAAAACATTATATTTAAAATAAATATTCCTGATTTTTTCAGTCGCGTGGATATCTATACAAAAATGCCAGCATTTACAGATTTGATTTACATGTTAATAAATATTGGAAAATCCGCCTCATTCACATCAATCGCCATCAAAACAATGAGGACATTTCAACACATTATGGTTTTCGTAATTATAAGATTTTCCAATTCAAACGCCAAATGTAAGGTTTATAGTGAATCATCAACAATAAACACCAGGTCATTCCATAGTAACTGCTATAAACATCTTCCATTCATTTCTGGTCAATTAGTTTTTCGTCACAAGTACTACAGCAGTGATTTTAAACTACAGTTATTTACAATATTTTGTGTGAGTGCTGAGATTGCATCCAGAAAGGTCAAAATAAACAAACCGGAAAACACCACCATGAATAAAATAAAAATTATCGTGTGGACGAGTTATGGCCAATACATGCCATGTTTTATGTGCGTCTGTTAAGTTTTTTTTTTTTTTTTTTTGGGGGGGTCTTTATAACATTATTGCAGTGTGACATTTTGAATGGGAAGAACAATTCCCAAAATCAAAATGGAAAAAAGATATAAACTATTGAATCTTGACCATGAATGAATGTTTTTGACATTTTTGTCTACATCGCGCGTTAAAATTTGCATATTATAACATTAGCGCATAACAAAGATTGTGATAAAG